AAAATTATAAAATAAAAACTCATTATAAAATCATTTTTTGTAAGAAATTGTTTAACAGCGAGTATTTCTGATTTTTTCCAGATCAATTACCAATTCCTTTATGCTTGTCAAAATTGGATAAAATTAGATAAGACAAAAATTATAAAATAAAAACTCATTATAAAATCATTTTTTGTAAGAAATTGTTTAACAGCGAGTATTTCTGATTTTTTCCAGATCAATTACCAATTCCTTTATGCTTGTCAAAATTGGATAAAATTAGATAAGACAAAAATTATAAAATAAAAACTCATTATAAAATCATTTTTTGTAAGAAATTGTTTAACATCGATTATTTCTGATTTTTTCCAGGTCAATTACCAATTCCTTTATGCTTGTGAAAATTGGATAAAATTAGATAAGACAAAAATTATAAGATGAAAACTCATTATAAAATCATTTTTTTTGTAAGATTGTTTAACAACAAGTGTTTCTGATTTTTTCAATTGGGCTACAGGGATGACAGAGAAAAGATTGGAGTGAGAAAGAGGAAAGAAAAAGGGTTGAGACGAATGAGAGATGTGAGTATTATTAAAATACCCTTAACCTTAAAACTTAGAATACATGATATATAAGGATATTTTTGTCTACTAAAACCCGGTACACATTGCTAAAATGTACCAACTGAAAAACAGGCGTACGCGTTAGCAAACCCCTATATATATATATATATATATATATATATATATTATTAATTGTTTCTAAAAATAGATGTAACATGTAACGTGTTTTTTTTAATAGAAGAATGTGATTTATGTGTTGTCAATATGCAATTACAAATACATAACAACCATTTATACCAAATTGGGAAAAATTAAAATTCAATGTTGGTCTAGTTTAATAAATACTTAAATTATGTTTAAACATTAGTGTTTACATAAGTATATTAAAATTTTGAAAGACTAAATTATATGTAAATTAACCATAATTAATAAAAAAATTAAACTAATTAAACAATATTTTTTCTAAATAATACAACATTTCAAACATAACTAATAGTAGTTTTCAATACGTATAAAAATTTAAAATATATAAATATCTAAATATAAGTGTTGTAACGATGATTTAATGATGGAGAACTGCGACGGTTCTTGACAACTCACAGTAAACTATAACGATATAAAAGATAAATTACTTAACAACTCCCATTCGAAAATGGAGATGCCCACAAAGTTAAAACACATTTGTAGATGAGTCTTAAAAGGACATTATTGCATCTGTTGTGTAAAGTACTTATGTAAAATTCAATTAAAAAACAATTACAACGGTTTGTATCTTAAGATGATATAATATGGTCGTTTCACATCGGTTAATCACATTGTTGTAATATCTACTCATCACAATTAGGAACAACGAATATAATATGCTTGATTTTTCACAACCAATATAATATCTATTCACAAAATTATTAGTGTAATTTTTGTTTTGCAATGATTGGATAAAAATTAATTTTATTTGTCGGTATAAAGTAGAACTTTTTCACCAGTGATTTTTTTTCTTTATACAGTTATGTTCAAAATGTGTATCTTTCAAATTTTATTATCTCTATTCTT